CTGTGTTATCTCTGACTCCAGCATCGGCAGTTCTTACTATCTCTGAGTTATAACCCCACTGCGAAGTCCCCCATTTCTGACTAAGGGTCCTGACCCAAAACGTCAGCTTTCCTGCTCCTCTGATGCTGCCTGGCCTGCTGTGTTCCTCCAGCTCCACACTGTGTTATCCCCTCATCACTGTTTCTTACCCGTTAGCCAATTCTCTATCCATGCCAATTGTTTAATACTACTTCTGTAGCGATGGTGATGGTAGTTGATTCTTTTCCCAAATTCCTTACGGTGGAAGATACTTTGAAGATCCAATTAATACTAAAGACTGATGCAAAATATCGGTTTAACTCCTCTGCCATTTTCCTGTTCCCTGTGACTATGTGCCAAGATTCATTTTCTAAGGAACCTATGTTCACTTTGGCCATTCTCTTCCTTTTTATATACTTAAAGAAGGTTAAAAAATATTTTTAAAGATACTGGAACAAGCTATTTGTATTGATCAAACGGAAACTCAAAATCCTAAATTTACAGGGAGAAGTACACAGAATATAAAGCACAGAAGCTATACCATTATTTATGTTCTCCTGTAGCCACAATGCTTACATGCCTAACTGAAATTGCTCTTAAAGCTTTGTTAATGGAGCACAAAACCAATGACTTTAGATGGATAAAATGTCATGTCTGTGAGCAATTCAGACGTGCATGCTACACCTTCACAGAAACAGATGTAGGAGCAGGTGTAGGTTCTTTGGCACTTTGAGCCTGTTTTGCTATTCAGTAGGAGCATTGCTGATCATCTAGCTCAGTATCTTTTGATCCTTTTAATCCTAAGAGCTACATCAACATCCTTCTTGAGAGTCTTCAATGTTTTGGCCTCAACAGTTTCTTGTGGCAGAGAATTCCCCAGGCTCACCACTCTCTGGATGAAGAAATTCCTCCTCATCTCTATCCTAAAAAGCCTACCCCTTAACCTTAGACAGTGATCCCTGATTCTGTATTTCCCGATCATTGAGAACACCCCTCCTGCATATATCTTGTATAATTGTGTCACCCCTCATTCTTCTAAGCCCTAGAGAAGAAAGCTCGAACAAAACTAAATCTCTCCCTTTACATCAGTCCCACCATCCCAGGAATCAGACTGGTAAAACTTTTTTGCATTTCCTCAATACATTTCAAACACAAATATTCCATAGCATGGTTTTACTGCATGTCAAAAACGTGTTTTTACATTTTGGTGGTTTATCCTAATGCACATAAGTAACCAAACCTCCATGGAATAACTATGTTTGGCTACACTTGGCTGCTAACATCACACAGGACAGACAGGAAGAGATTGCAACAGTTCTGTTTATCAAATTGTGCAGATGGTTAGCTGGCAGAAATCCACTGAAATAAAAATGCTCCCACCAAAACAAGGGTCAAGTTCACATTACAAAATAGTGTTTACACATGCATATTGATCAAGTATGAACAACTCATTTTTTTAAAGAAAAATACTTCACATGCAGATCAGATTTGTTTTCTAAGAAGGTTCATTAAAAACAGCAAAATCAATTGCTTTTATTTGAAAAGGTGACATCTTGGACTCCCTAGCTGCATTAATGAGATGAATCAGAAAACAACAAGCCATCTCAGAACAGAATCAGCATAAGAATTTACTTGTTAGTTGTTAAACTATATACCCTTCCCCAGGCTGGCTTTTGCATTTGTTAAGAAAACATATGTTAATATTTGAAGTAATTCGGCACAAAATTTTGTTGTGAAGAATGGACGGTATCTAAATTAACTCTTTGCTTTGCAGTCTATTATTTACAGAAATGTCATTTGCTTCACAAATTCATCTCTTAACCACCACTTTGAATTAATTGCAGTTGTAACACAAAGTCACTTCAGACTATTGGTCCTGTAGGGTTTACTAGCTGCAGGTTAGTAGTCAGGATTGTCAAATGAAGATACTTGAAGCCACCCTCAACTCAAGTGAGATTTTGCTTACATTACTGGGAAATTTTGCAAAATTTACACTCCAACTTCTTTCTTGTTGATAGGTTCCTCTGTTTCTGAAATTACATCTAGTTTTGATACAAAACAATGAGAATGCACAGAATCATAGATCTTGACAGTGTAGAAAGAAGCCATTCAGCCAATCATGTCTGCACTGACCTTCCAGAAAATTTAGCATGGCCAATGCACTTAATCTGCACATCTTTGGACTGTGGGAGGAAACCAGAGCACGCAGCGGAAATCCACACAGACACAGGAAGAACATGCAAACTCCGCACAGACAGACAGTCATTTCAGGCAAGAATCAAATCCAGGTCCTTAGATTTATGAGGCAGCAGTGCTAACCACTGAGCCACATACCACCCAGAATTCTCCTTTATGTGACATGTATGTTGAGGTGGGTACAAGGACAGTCATAGGAAAAATTTAAGGTATAGGGGACATATGGAGCAGCGTCAGAGGCCATGGTAGTGTGAAAGCGTACCTTTGTTTAATTTGTGTACTGAAATGGGAAAAGAACTATTGATAACCCAAGAGCTTGTGGAGGGATCACTGCACTTTTTGAAAAGCAAAAATGATTTCAGAAAACCCTGTGCACAGGGACTAATGATCTGCCTTTCCTTCCACTATAATACTCATTTTTAAAAATTGTGTGTGTAAGGGGAATGATAAGGGATTAGAGTTTAAACTAGTAGAGTTATATGCCAATGGTTCATAATTGTTTACCTGGAGCTGGACAATATTAATTTATAATAAGCAATAATTCTTAAGTATAGAAAACCTAGTCCATGCTTTCTGTCAATCTGAGTCTAAACCCCAGGTAAATTGGAGAACACAAGGCATTGCAGGGCTTGATTTTCAGCATGTTACCCAGTGAGGTGTCATAATAAACTACAGGGATGTGGGGATTATTGGCAGTGACCACCAATGTTTCCTGCCCCGGAAAAGAATAGAGGACCACTGTGAGCATAATTAAAGTGTAATTTTGGGGCTTTCGGAATAAGGAGGACTGTTGGAGGCAAAGTTCAGTCTGGTGGGTCTCCAAAGGCTTTTCTATTTTAGGGGCCAGGAAGATGAGTGGAAATGGGCTGTTAAGGTAATGTAAAGCAAAAGGGTACATGGAGGGTCTGGGGTGGGGTGGGGGGGCGGTGAAGAGTTACCTAGTGACGACGCAGAGCTCAGTGCTCTCCTGTATCCACCATGAGCTGTATTTCCTACCATCACTTGCCATTCACTAGACTAACTTCAACTGGAAAACAGCTAGGATGATGCCAAGAAGGGTGGAGTCTGGGTCAGTTTGATGGGCAAAGATGCAGAATCCAGCTCTGCTGGAGGCTAGTTTGTTAAATGGATAAATACATGAAGCATGTGCTTGCAAACTGCAGCTAACATGTAATCTGCAAATCGTTTCATCATCGATTTGCAATGCGTGCAGAGTGACGGGCTCAAATGCTGGTCAAAAGTTATTTGCAACCATGCCAGCTGTCATCACAAGTTGAACACCAGCATCGTTGATGCAGAATTTAACAGCAAGGCCTTAAAAAAAGAGGAGAATGCTTGCCAAGGATGACTCATTACTTGCAAAACTTGCAAGTGTGTAGGGGAGCTGGAGATGATCTCATTATCATCCGTCTTCTAAATGATATGATGGGCTTCATTGAATGCAATGTTTCAAGGATGATGTGGGCCTGGAATAAAAAGGGGTGTTCAAAATACATTAAAAAGAGAACCTCTGATGCAATGTATTGGTGACTCAGCCAGGCCAAACACGTTCACTAAATTAGTGCACATACTGAGGCTAGAGACATAGACCTCATTATCAGGGCACTGAATGTTTTATTCTTTTGAGTGTGTGCACTTCTTTGCTCCTCGTTCCTTCCAGGGAATGACAAGAGATCTGTGTGGAATCACTTCATCAGGCACCCATAGGACAGTGCCTGAGGCCAACTGTGTAACATTATACAAGTTCATTTCATTCCCCCATAATGAGGTCAACACTGCAGCCAGGCAGTAGGAATTCTGAAACATTGCTGACATTCCCCCAGGTGTAGGAAGCCATTGATTGTACATACGTGGCACTGAGAAGACCATATCACAATACTGTGGCATTCATCAATAGAAAGGGGATCCTGTCTATTAATAAAAACCGAAAGAACTGCGGATGCTGTAAATCAGAAACAAAAACAGAAGTTGCTGGAAAAGCTCAGCAAGTCTGGCAGCATCTG